ATTAGAAAAGAAATGCTCGATAACGCGATCGACTATTGCCGTTTCCTTCGATCTGCTCTCTTTCGTCTATCCTAGCGATATCTCGTCTGCGACGATGAACCGCGTTCGATATATCCTAGTAAACATAACTTGAAAACTCGGGGATGCTTGAAAACAACAAGAATAAGAAAAAAAAAGAGAGAGAGAAAGAGAGCGAGAAGCGAATATAGAAATTCCTGTAAGAGCGGAGAATCCAACGGCGATATGGCGCAGCGGCGGTTTAAAAATTCGCTGGAATCTCGAGGAAAAGGCAAGCGCGTCGGAGAAGCTCTTGCCGCAATTGGTCATTCAAAGATTTTTACCGGCATTCATGCGTCCGTTTCTCGCGGTATTTATTGGCAAGGTTTTCTTCCCTGGTACGCCCTTGGAGAGGTAAAGAGACTCTATGCCTCGCGAAGATCTTGTACTCGTACGAGCGAACCGATTTCGTGCGCGCGTATTTCTCTTTCCTTTTGTCTTTCTCCGTTACACTCGCCTCGCGCTATCTTTTTCTTTCAAGGAATATTCTTCATTTTATTTACGATATTCGTCAAGATTTATTGTCGTTTGCTTTTTCTGTTTCAACATCGTCTACTTTTTTGTGTTCATTTGTGTCGTCTAATGTTATTTATTTTCTCTTCTTTTGTGATATTTCCTATACAGTGTACAAATATGGTATACTTTTTGCATCAACGTTTACGGTACCACATGTGAAGCGCAATTGATGCAGCGTACATACATGGCATATTTAAATTATTATAAATTTGTATGAAGAAAATAATGTTTTTTGTACAAGTGTAGTTCTGTGTGTGTATATATATTGCGTGTACATATTTGTATGATTTTTTAATGATTTTATGATATATATATATATATATGTATATATGTACATATATGTTTTTTTGATGTCATTATAATATATAAACATTTTTTACTTCAAAATACATTTAAAAAAAAATTGTGACAAAAAATATGTTAAGAGTATTTGCAAGATTAAAGATAAGATATTGTGTTTATATAGACAAGAGCAAAGAGGTCTCGTACATATGTTGTATTAACTGAGATCTACTGCACATCCGATTTGGTAGATCGTTTTACGACTAAACAAATCACTTTGTTGAGAAGAATCGATACTATCTACATGCGTCTACTGAGTACTGCAAAGACATAATTCCTACAATAGCAGTCGCCAACGCATTGCTGCAAATTGTGCGTTTGTTTATCCGGCCAGTCAATTAATCACTTAGAGATTTAAGTACTGTTGCAGAAGGAAACTTAATTGAACAATTCAGTGAACTTAATAATCGATTAATTACACAACTGCTTTTTTATAAGCTACCTTATTATGCCACAAACTGCAATCTCACATATTGCGAACACAAACGCATGTGTGTGGCGCACTTATGCGGCCGCTTGATCCGTGTTTACATAAGTTTAAATATATTGCGATCGCCGTTTCAACATTATATATGTTTGCGGCAAGTGGAACGTCATTTGCAACATTCTTCGTCCATGTTGAAAAGAAAGAACGTCGCTGATATATGTTGATGCATTGCGTACATTAATGTGTGCGTCAACGATAGCGCTGACGCAAAGTGAATAATTGCTGTGAAACAAAGTAGTATCTTTTTTTTACGCAATATGAGAAATTCATAAATTTGTAAATTGCATGCTGATCATATACGCGAAAAATGTTCTTTCTCGATACACACGTTAAAAGTAATATTTGAAAAATAGTATATATTTTATACTTATGTGTGTTGCGTTTCAATATTACATCTACTTACATTGTAAGTAGAAAATTAATCTATCTACAATTTTTCTGAATCTCAATATTGTATTGAACAAAAAAAAAAATACAAATGACATTTTATGAATTTTTTTCTGAAATTATTTTATGTCACGAGGCACGTATTCACGGAATCGAGATTCAATACATGTTAAACGAACGCGGACAAATTGTTTTTCAGAAAGCGAAAATGATCGTGCTATGCAGTTATGTTTTATCGTCGGTTGAGTTATTTCTTCACTTGGAATGAAGAGAAAAGAAAGCGTTTATGCGAGAAAGAGCTGAAAAAGATGTGAGAGATGGAGAAAGAAGAAGAACACCACTAGCAATTAAACACGGCGTAAGTCTCGCTCCGAGGATAATGCCCCGGAATGCTGATAATTGGCTGAACCGTCCGGGCGATTCGAGACGAAGAACCCACAGGTGCAGCTGGCGGCGCAGTGCCGCGAGATCATCGGCTCGCGATCCCTCGTGTCTAATTGATTCGAAGTGATTTATATTATCCTTCGCGTCTGCACCTCTGGCATTCCCTGGATATCGAAGCAATCATCAAAACGCTCAGATAGATTGTTGTTCGACAAGAAAAAATATTTTAAGGTATAAAATAAGATTTCCTTTCTATTTCTCTCTCTCTCTCTCTCTCTCTCTCTCTCTCTCTTCCTCTCTCTCACTACAATAAAATAATCAATGCGTATTTTGATAAAAAACTTTATTGTTTAAGATAAGATGTATTTAAGTCTAACGTAACAAGTACTTAACTTTTCTCAATCTTTTTTTCTCTTTTCTTGAAGATTGTTCAAATTCAGAGTCGATCTCATTGAGATTCAATTAAGGTTCCATTGTGTTCAATTAAGACTCCTTCTGCAACAGTACTTGAAAAAAAACAAAAACAAAAATAATTTTAAAAATTATAAGTAACTTTTGTCCCGTAATTCGAATGCAAAAAAAAAAAAGATGACAACCTGGTTATGCGGGCGAAAAAACTTGATGCTTCCGTCATATTAAAGAGCCGAGGTGCCGTTTCAAGTTGGCCGAAATTAGATAGTGCGAGAGATCGATCGATCGTGGAAAGAGAAGCGGCGATCGCGATCGTGCCGAGACCTGAGAGAGAACAGCGCTATAGCCAGGCTTCTCTCTTTCTCTCTCGAAGTAGCTGCGATATCAGATCGGTCGTATAAAACTATCGTATCGTTTAAATACGCACTGAAAGGTGAGGCGATGCATCAGAAGATACATGGGCGATGGCAGGCAGCTTCTTCCCTTTCTCCGTCTTGTGTTCTCTCGTCCTGTTCGCGCTGTCGATCCGCGCTGAAGATACCCGCCTGGAATCCATGGGAACTACGGAGAACCAAGCTTAACGCATATAACCCCTCTTTCTACCGTATAGTTGGGTCCTCCATCCGGATCTCGTTATGTCTCATCATCGTTTTTTCCTTTCAGTCTCGATATATAACATATGTATCTGTTTTCGTGTTTTCTCAGTTTAGCATTTCTATCGACAACAATAAATATAGACAAAAATATATATACCGGTATTTTCAATTTAGAAATCCAAAAATTTTTACAGACAAGTATATATAAGGTAAAAAAAACGCAAAAATATAAGACAATTGAAACAATGTGTTGGTTTTCTTTTTTGTGGCGGCATATAGACCGATCGATGTTATCAACATCTCCGTCTACATCGAGATAATTGACAGAAGATCGCGTATCATGTTTCTGAAAAGAAGGACGAGATGCGATCATGAATGCAATTCCGCATTGCATTACTGCTCGACATTTACGATGGCTACCAATTTTATTATTTTCACAGAAATCTGCACGTAATTGGGCGGAAATTCCATTATGAATTAATTCTGACATATCGGCATTGACAGAGATCACATCTGTGCAATTCAAAATCTACAAAACGATTTTGATTTCGCAAAAAGTGAATAGCGATATCGTTAGTTTAACGAGGAGACATAGTCTCTTCACATTTAAATCTCACGTATCAGTGTAATATTTATGACAAAAAATTAATACATATGTTCATGTTTTATAAATAAATTATTGCAACAAACATATTTATATTTAAAAGTATATACAAACAAATCTAAAATTAAAAAACGTAATACACGCATAAACTACGGAAAGGAAAGAAGTAAAATCAAAAAATAAAATTTTACAGTCATACACTAGAAGGCTGTAATATATATGAATACGTACGGAATTCATACAAGATGCTACTTTGCATCACGTATATGTATATAAAAAATAGAGATAATTCATATGTATATATATATGTATATATGTGATGTAAAATAGCATCTTATATAAATTTTAGAATTGTTACTCAATTCAAAAACTTGTTATGTGTATTAATTTATATATTAAACATATACATTTTGCATGTACATCTAACATCTGAAATTCTATTTCTTGATTTAGTTTTATACTTAACAAAGCCATGGTATAGTTGTTGAAAAAATCTGGAATTTTTTGAAAATCCTCTTGCTCATGGAAGTTAGAGTTAATGGTCAATTGAAAATGGGCGGTGACAATTTAAAAAAAGGTGAAATTCCGTGTGATGTGCATTGTTCGGTTAATGATTGAGTGGAGGTGACAGGTGAAACCGAATATACACACATCACGAGAGAGAAGCTACATCGGGCATAAATCTCGGTGGGTCTCCATCGTTATATTTTATATCTATCGCAGCCAGACAAGCGTGAGTCTGGATTGTGAGACCTACTGATGAGTGTATGCTCCCAAGAGACCTTCGACAGTTTGACGTGCTATAAAATAATTTTCGATTCACGCTTTGTTCGTGCGTATTGATTTCTCACAAAAACATTTTGTATAGTCAAATAAAAATATGTGAAGAGAGAGAAAGGAAAATTCTAAATTGTCTTATTCGCCAGTCAACGCGTAATCTGAGTTGTTTTTTCGAGCAATCTGATTGCGCGACTTCTTTTGACTTAGCTTTTTCTTTCGCCATATGTTTACTTCTTTAATTTCCCTGCAGTCTCTTTCTCTTCGTTTAAGACTTCTTGTGGTTAAAAAACAATTCTTGCCAAGTTTTTACGTACTCAACTCGTACATACAAAATATTTATCGGTTGCGTCTCTTCTTGTTTCATGATTTATGTTACAAATTATGCTACCGTAGTAGTTCATTAAGTGATTCCGAATCTCCTTGTACGTGCTTTTAGATACGCGGGAGACGAGTTTTGTGAACGCCATCACCGCCGCCGGAGTTACTTATGCGGTTACCAGAGCCTGCACTATGGGTGATCTCATGGAATGTTCTTGCGATAAGATGATGTCAAAAGGTAAAAACTTGCTCCTTTATAATCTCTCTTCTGAGAGATCTAATTTGGGCATTGATTTAGCGTCAGACTTTGTAATAAGTTATATATATATATATACACTTTTTTAAAGAGAAACTTTTTTTTATTATTAAAATTATAGTTTGTTATTTTGTAATTATATCGTAAATTAAGAAACTACTTTTTTGTAAATCTACAGTTTAGAGAAAAGCTATTTTTTAATGAAATTTTTTTAACTACATAAATTTATGAATTTTGTATCTTGTGTGTGTGTATGTGGATTGTACATATTGGATAAAAGAGAAGTAGATGATATATGTTGGATAAGGAAAAAAGAATGACGCGTTTATTGCAGGTAACCGCTTGGCTAAATTTACGCATACAGTCGAAGCCAAAAAAACTTTGCCAACAGAGGGAGATTGGGAATGGGGAGGGTGCGGTGATAACGTGAATTTTGGCTTCAAAAAATCTCGAGATTTTATGGACACACCGTATCGTAAACGCGCTGACATTAAAACTTTGTTAAAGCTTCATAATAACGATGCCGGACGTCTGGTGAGTTAGTTTTATATATTTTTATTCTTTCTTCATAACTTATTTTAATGTGTACTTTCAAGAGGTTGGTTTAATAATGTCATAGGATTATAAATAATTGTATAGACAACAGAATTTGTAAATATAAATAATTTGTAAATAAAGAAAATAATCAATTCTTGTTGATAAATTAATAAATGATTGAGTTCGATAAATTTATATATTGTTGTTTAAAAAAAAGTTTAGTTAATTATGAATTTAAATAAAAACTGAAGCTAAAATTGTGACATTGCCTTTCGATACGCTATTTTACATTTGTTTCTTAGGCTGTGCGCAACTTCATGAGGACCGAGTGTAAGTGTCACGGGCTTTCTGGTTCCTGTACCGTGCGCACTTGTTGGCGCAAAATGCCACCGTTCCGGGAAGTCGGTAATCGCTTAAAAGAGTCTTTCGATGGTGCGGCCAAAGTCATTCCCAGCAATGACGGTCATAGCTTCATGACCGAAGGTCCAACGATAAAACCGCCCGGTAGATTTGATCTGATATATAGCGAGGATTCGCCGGACTTTTGTAAACCCAATCGGAAAACTGGTTCGTTGGGGACGACAGGTCGTCAGTGCAATGCGACTAGTCCTGGGATCGAGGGCTGTGAGCTCCTCTGCTGCGGCAGAGGTTACGATACCAGAATCGTCAAGGAAAAAATCAATTGTCAGTGCAGGTTCCGATGGTGTTGCGAAGTCACGTGCAATACATGCCTCGTCAAGAAGACCATTAACACTTGCCGCTAGTGACAATGTAAGTTTAGAACTTTCGTATAGTACCAAGAGATGTCAGAAAGAAAATCAGACTGACGCGACAGCTAGTTTTGCATGTTGTATAGAGTTATATAGAGAAGACTGAAAAAATAATGTCGAGAAAAATAATTTATATTTGTTGTGCAAGTCTCATCATAAATATGAGTGCCATAGAGATAAATCAGAAAGTTATATAATTTAAGTTACAATAGTAAAAATTCATCTCTGCACACTTTGTATCTTTGTTAACAATAAAAAAAGACAAAAATATTTAGCACAAGCAAGGTTATTTTTGATGGTATGTGTTAGTCATCTAATAACAGTTAATTATTTAATATCAGTTGTTGTGACATATAAGCATTTATCAATATGTACATGTATACATATTCATTACCCACACAGAACAAAAACTCCATTAGACGTCTATTAGACGTCGACAGCTCCATGTGATATCTAATAGACGTCTAATGGATGTCTGGATGGATAGATGTCTGTGTAGGTTAGTATTGATATGTTTAGAGTGTTTAGTTCATTACAATTAAATTTTTTTACTTTTTTGTTATATTATCGATGTTTGATTCACAAGTTTGATTCAGTTATTTCTTCTTCATAATCCGATCGTGATATAATTTTCTATAATACACAATATAGTATTTGTAATATATGTATTTACACACTATTTCTAGAATAGAATATAATCGTGAATATTCAATGACGACTGTTCAGATATGTGATTTATGATTTATCGCAACCGTATAAATCTGGATTAAATTTACGTACTATTTTAACATAGTTTACGTATTTACGTATTATTCTAACATATTTTATAAGAGAGATGTACACAGTGCTTTCTATATAAAAAGTATATCTCGATAAAGGCGATACGCAAACGCGTCGGGAAATAGGATTGAGAACTTCAGTAGTGCATGCACGAGCCAAGTCAGACACGAGTCGCAACTAATCGTAATTCGCGCGTTTTACGAGATAGTGTGTATCTTTGACACATCTATGAATAATGGCACATGGCTTTCACATTTATACTAACTAAAATAAATACTATCTCAAAATACTAAGTTACTTCCATAGTGAAAGAATAAAAATAAAAATATAATAAAGATAAAGATGAAAATATAATAGAGAGAACCAATTGAATCTCTGCTACAAGTTCATGCAAAAGAAAAAATCTTACATAATTTAATAAATAACCTTATAAAAGTTAAATATACATTCAACGTAAATTCGACAAATAAAGTTATAACGTTGGCAATATAGATTTTAGTCAAAGAGTGTTATTATTATAATCAAGGCTGATTTTTGTTGTCTTTTAGGTGTTTATTATTATAAAAGATTAATTTAGGGCAAAGTTACTTAAATCAAAAGTAGGTTTTTAACTTTAGCGATAAATTTTTTTTACAGATATCTTAAACTAGTTACACACTTTATTACATAAAAATTGTTTACAAGATATACACATTATTTTTTATATCTGATGTCTTACTATGTAGAATTGATCCTTGATGATAGTTGTTATCAACGTCGTCTACGATTTATTACGTCACACAAGGTGATTTTGTTTTACTCGGGCTTTCCACGTATCTCCAGTGCTTGTAATACATGTATTAACTTTTATTAAGATGTATAGTATACATTTATATAAAATATATTTGTCCAAAAGAAGAAGGGAGAGAAAGAAAAAGTGTTGTTTTTTTCATTAATTACATTCTCGGAATTTTGTTTTTGCTTTTATGCATGCGTATTCAATTATGCTGCTTTTCTCTCGTGTAACATATAATTTTGCTCTGTGCCATACAATTCGATGTTTGTATATTGAAAGTATAGATATGCACACACAAGATTCCTTTGCAAACAATTACTTTTTATCAATTTTTGAGCCTTAATACTTTACAGAACTTGCTCTTTTACGTATATAAGACTGAGATATTAAAATATGCACTATTATATTGAAATGTAAGTTTTGTAAAAATTTGTTACCCTTAGGCAAATCTCGTTTGTTATTAAGATTTATTAATTTATCGAATAATTAGTAGCGACGATTTATATATACATGTATGTGTTTATGTATATATATATATATGTATATGTATATACACATATATATATATGTATATGTTAAAAGACAAATATATGCATTATTATATTTCAGCTTATACAATTTTTTTTTATTTAACTTTACTTTGAGAGAATTTCCCGTGTTAATAATTATAGGTAAGTGAGAATTTTTTATTCTTTATTTAAATAGCGAAATATCTCGTAATGACTTCAACCCGGTAAAAAATTTTTTATGTATAAAATTGTGGACATATTCGGTATATAAATTTGCATAATTAGATTTAATAATAATTTTAATTTGTGTATAAGTATATATGATTATATATCAAAACTTTTTTAAAAATATAGTAAAAATATAGTTTTATATACAATTCAGAAAACGGATGACTCCAGATATTCAAAATTTCAAGAAGTGGACGTGGCAGTTGGAGTCAAAAACACAGTTGTTATTGTGTATAAATGTAATAATGATGATTTTCTTTATTTGATAGTTAATAAAAATGGCGTTTCGACCATAGTTTTTGGTCTTTATCAAATTCGTTCTACAAGAATTGATTACAAAAAAAAAAAAAAAAAAAAAAAAAAAAAAAAATTAACAAAAAATAATGTAATAAATTCTTGTAGAACGAATTTGATAAAGACCAAAAACTATGGTCGAAACGTCATTTTTATTAACTATCAAATAAAGAAAATCATCATTATTACATTTATACACAATAACAACTGTGTTTTTGACTCCAACTGCCTCGTCCACTTCTTGAAATTTTAGTTTTATATAATTTTTTGTATCTAATAGAGTTATTTTGTAATTATTTGTTATTTTGTAATTGTTATTTTGATACTAATAAAGTTATTTTGTAATTTGATGTGGAATATCTCTGAAGCCATTCTCTTAAAAAAGAAATTCTCCGTGTATAAAATTGTATGGACATATTCGGCATATAAATTTGCATAATTAGATATAATTATTTTAATTTGTGTATAAGTATATATAAAAAAAAAAATTTTTTACCGGGAAATAATATTAAAAAATATGATTATTACTATTAAATAATTGGAAAGTGGTAAATAGTTTGAATATTTTTGTTCGTGAAACAATATTTTTTTTTTTAGGTTATTTTGAAAAAATTAAAAGTGTTGTGTGTGTTTATGTCTAATTATAAATATTGTATATGTCTATAATGTAAGGTTATATACGCATATATTTTCTAAGATATATAAAATTTATAAAATTTAGTTTATTCGTGCACACATCAATTCTGTTATAATTTAAAAGATACGCATAAATTTTCATATATTTGTAGTATCTATTTATATTTAATATTGTTTTTGTATCTTTTATTGTAGCGATATTATTTGAGTATAATATATACACACACTTTTAAGTCTTTTATCAAACGTATAATAAAAAGTACTAAAAAATTAATTTCGATAAACGTCTGACACATTTCCGGACGACGAGAAATTTTGTCTCTTTATTCTCACGTGTTTGGAGATGTGATAATAAGGATAAATTGAAGAAACACCAAGAATTAGAAGGTCCCGTATATCAAGATACCGCGTGTAAAACACGGGCTTTTACCCTATAATTTAGGTTTATACAGAACAGTCGCACGGGCAGTAAAGAACTACTTGTCAGTTCTTATAAAATAGTTTTACGACCAACCATTAAAAGGAATTTCGCATAACCATAAAGGCCGTTACACGTTCGCGCCATATCGCGTGCCTTCTTCTCATTTCGATAGAAACCATAATTTTGGAAAAAAAGTTTTCTTCTTATTTTATTTTGCTTTTATATTTTCATTTTGTGAAGTCAATAGTGAATTATTAATTTTTTAGTTCTTGATGATGTTTTTTTTTAATTTAGTTTTTAATTTAGTTTTTTAATTTAGTTTTTTTAATTTAGTTTTATTTTAGTTTTTTAATTTAGTTTTTGAGCTGATTTTTTTGTTTGATGTTCAAATAAGGAAGAAAGACTTATTAATGTCAAAATAATAAAATTGAAAAATTTTTTTCCTAGAAAAAATAAGAAAAACAATATATGAGAGTTTTGAATAGTCCGTCAGAATCTAATTGATGATATTTATTTTTAAAGTCTTTTGCATAAGGCATCACAAATGTTTAGGATGCTTTGATCAATCACGATTTATCATCAACGGATATGTATTCCTACACAAGAACTACTCTAAAAAATTCCTTTTTAAAGAAAAGACTCTTAGAAGAAGCAAGCTTACACCCTCCAATTTAATACGTGACGCGGCATGGCGCGGCGTGCGAGCGCGTTCGGGTAAAAGTCTCTTAATAGAGAGGTCGACCTCTCGGAGTTACAAAAGTGGTGAGGCGCAATTAGCCCCACCAAGAAAGACTGTCTGGACTCGATTAGCCCATGGCCAAGAGATTGGTCTGCCGCAACACAACTGGGTGGTCCGGGCGGGGTAATTTTCGGCTGCCGTCGACGTTCTCCTTCGGGGGAAAATGGCCCTCGAAATTGGTCCCGAATTTACCGTGCGGCGTAGGTTCGCGACGCCATTTTTAGGATCTCTACCTTATCCTTTCTTCGTGTTTCCGATCCTTGTCTTTCCGAAGCCGACAAAAGTTGAGAGAAACGTCTTTTTCACAAATATACATATATATATATATACACATATATCTTTCTCTTTCTCTTTTTTCTTCTCTCTCTATCAAAGGAAACAAAACTTCCTCGATAATTCAATTTTAGGAGAAAAATATGATATACCAGTTACTGATGAAATGCGCGTTGATGAAAACACTGGACTATAAAAAACAGTACAAAAATGCTGTTTTAGTTTTAGTTTTATCACAGACTATAGTTTTGTGAAAAATAAAATGAATATGTTAATTTTATTATTGTTTATATTTATTTAAAAGTAGATAGAGTAACTAAAGCGCGAATATTATACTTTCTTGTACTTTGCTGTTTATTTTAAATTATTTTTCTACTCATCACGATGTTTAAAAAAAATATAGATCAAGTCTTGCTATAGAAAAAGCTCTCTCTCTCTCTCTCTCTCTCTCTCTCTCTTTCAAGCGAACATTAGTGATTAACCGTGAAAGTGTATAATTGAGTGTAAAGGATATGCTCTCGCGAAAAATATGCATACAAGGATTCGTATATATACAGTTTTACGTACGACAGAAACTCTCCCACGGCGTACGACTCGGACACTGTTCTCGGAACGATTAGACGCGGAACAATGGAACCCGCGGAACGCACGTGGGTCGTGACGCGCGACAAAACCGCAAAATGCGACCGTGATTAATCGGCACTGACCGCCCTCTCCGGCAAGAAACACGTCGTACCATGAGAACGCGCCGTGACTCCATTTTCTTCTCTCTCCAGAACTTCATACCACGCTTGTGCAACCCTCTCGCAAATGCGCGCTTAATGTGCGAGTACTCGCTCGCTACACGTCTCTTATGGAAATCGATGATAAATTTCTGCGACAACGAGCGCCTATCCCCGTCATTCTTGCACTCGGCTAAGTGCAATGTTTTCATTTTTCTTTACATTTTATATTAAATAGAGAAACAGTCAATATAAATCTACAGAGTTTATCTTATCCTGTTTACTAAAAAATAAAAAAGATACAGATATTTCCGCGTGAACATCCCAACGATCGATTAGACTACTATGCTCGCGCGTAGCAAACAGAATGCACTCGAAAAGGACAAGGATAACATCGAGCGTGTATCGTTGCGACACACAAGCAAATGACCAGAACCAGTACCAGAACTAATATACCTGAGCCGCGGGGAGAACTCGGGCGCCGGTCGCAGACGCTTTTACGCATACCACACGGACACACGCGCAAGCGCGGGTACACGAGATTACACGTGCAAATTGCAAGCTGCAAGTGTACCGGAGGCAAGACATCGACGCGCCGGAGGTGGTCGTCGGCAGTTTCGAACTGGGCGCGCTGCTTCGACGCCAATATTAATTAAACGATCCCATAAGCGCTTAACAAACTGGCCATACGTTATGCGGTTTATTGGGATCTCCGAGCGCGACGTTAAAATGTTCCAATCTTAATTAGGTAGGTGTTTACAGGAGGATAATTCCACGGGGTTTTAAGCGGCTGCGCCGTTTCTACCGAACGCGGGCCACCGGGTATGACATGCGAAGACTCTCTTTTTTGAGATCTTCCTTGAGACGAGCCTTCTTTCTCCTCATCTTTCCGTTTCATTCTGGATATCACGACGATGTCTTCCTCTTAGCGGTCGCGCTTTTTTGTTTTTGCACTTTGCGAGGATGATCTTCCGATATTCTTTTCGTGTCTTTTTTTTTTCTGTTGCGTTTCATCGTTCTTTCTTCGTCTTCTCTGTGGAATGCCAGAAGCACATCTTGAAGGACGCAGGAGACACCGCCTGTTCCCGCAGTGGGCGGAGGAGGTCGTTGAAATCTTTATGCGATTTCTTTAGATTCTCAGAGTTTTTTCGCCATCGATATATACATATAGTAGTTTTGCATAATTATCTGCTTGTAATTTTTCTTCCTTTGCGTTTCTCACTTTTTCTGTCTTGAGCGAATCGGCGAAAGAAAGAGAGCGCTTCGTCGGAGAGAGAGAGAGTAATTTTCGGTGACTATACGATAATGTACGTGTTTTTTGACAAAAGAAATTTACGCAGTCAATGAAAAGCAATATACGTATATTTGTTTTGTTATAAAATTATATATATATATATATATATGATCATATATTCCGGTAATCTTTGTCTGAAATAACGGGATATGGTTTTACTCGACCAAATATTGTCCGAGGCGAATTAACATGTGAATTTGTATTATTATCATAAAGTACGACAGATCGTACAAACTCGGTATACACATATACTATATTCTAGTATTTTATTAAAATCTATTTGCATTTAATATGCGCTCATCAAAGCAAG